AATTTCGGCGCACCCTTTACACATTTCGTGGCCCCATAGGAGCTCCACCGAAACGGGTACCCACAATGCGGTACTCGCAACTGCAGATGGTTGGGTCCTTTGTCAGGCTAATTTCCTATATGTTCAAAGTTTTTGTCTTCCAGCCCCCCCCCACTTCCCATATTCTCGGGGTTTTCGTCTTCCCATCTTTCCCTCTAGTTTCGGGGCTTTTGTCTCCCCCCCACTTCCCATGTTTTCCAATCTTTTCTGGGGCATCGACGATGAATTGTGTCTGTGTGTTTCTTTCGGCGGTGGACAAACCTCCCTTTACTAAACCTCCCTTTAGTGAAAACGGCCTGGGCCCGAAACCGACGGACCTGGACCCGCAAAAATGACGGCCGCGACGCCCTCTCGCGAACCGAAAACGGCCAATTCCTTAATCGACGCGTCAGGGTAATTAGGAGGTCTGTCCACCTCCGATTCTTTCCGAGGGCTTTCGGGTCACGCCTCGGGCCTCCGGCGGCCGTCCCGGGGCACCCCTGGGGCGCTCCCTCGGCGAGGAATGGCCGCCGGAAGGCAGCCCGAGGCTGGAACGCCGCCGAAAGACTTGCTGAAGGGGCCCAAGGACACACAAAGAAATACACACAAATAAAACGTGCTCCCCACATGTTCCCATATTTTTGGGGTTTTCGTCTTCCCTCCCCCTTTCCATATTTTCCAATCTTTTCTGGGGAATCGACGATTACTTGTGTCTGTGTGATTCCTTCCCCCCTGACTTACCCCAAACTCCATGTCTTCGTCCAGCCTGCGAGAAAGGCGCAGAATACTCTCTAGATCTACGAAGCAGGTCGACGCACGTTGTCGCAGGCTCCACGGGAGAAGCCGATTCTGGGGGCACATCGGATCTCTATACATCGTCGACCCCCTGCTCGAAATCTGGCGGAGGCTCGACTCGAGCGGCTCGACCCGCGAGAATCCTGGTGGCGCCAGCGGCAGCGGCAGCGGCGCGGACAGCGCCAGCAGCGTGTTCTGGCCGGGCAGGCTGCCGGGCAGCGGGGGCGGCGCCGCCAGGTAGCCGGGCGGCGGCCTCGCTGCTGGGCGTGTCGCGAGGGCTGCTCACCGAGGTCGCGGAGGCGGCCCCAACGGATGCCCGCGCGCACCGGTGTCCAGATTAGGGGGCCACATGCGACCCCCCACGATTTCTGAGGGGGAGGGTGGGGTTCACTTTGTTCGGGAGCTCCCGAGCGAAGTGAACCCCACCCTCCCCCTCAGAAATCGTGGGGGGCATGGGTAGGGTTCGCATGCGGTCCCCTACAGATCCCCCGCCGGCCTGAGGCTGCCCCGATACGCAACACGCCACGCACAGCGTGTCGACACAGAGCTCCGCACGTGGGCCGAATAATTACTCGGGCCTGGCGCGAGGCGCCCGTCGAGACGCGGGCCCACGCGTGCCGAGCCCTCACGCAGCGTGTGGGCGCGGACGTCTCGAGCACGGTGCGTGCCCTGCGCTTCCGAGCGGGCGCGTCGAGGCAGCTCAGCTGCCAAGATAGGGGGGGGGCCACATGCGAACCCTACCCCTACACCCCACGATCTCTGGGGGGGAGGGTGGGGTTCACTTCGCTCGGGAGCTCTCGAACGAAGTGAACCCCGTCCTCCCCCCCAAAAATCGTGGGGGGTAGGGGTAGGGTTCGCACGCGGCCCCCTACGAGAGGCCCCGTCGAGGCAGCCGTGGCCACGGCTGCCCGCGCGCCCTGGTGCCCAGAGATCCCCTCGCGGGGCGCGGCAGCAATCACGGCGGGAGGCTGCTCGCCGCTGTTTTCTCCGGCCTCGGGGGGCCCGTGCGCCGGGCCTCGGGGCCGTCCAGCAATGAGGGGCAACGGTAGGGGGCATAGGCACAGGGGGGGAAGCATCGACCTGGAATCGGCGACACAGCGCCGATAGATCGGCGAGAGGCCCCCGAGAGTGAATCCGCACCTTTTTGTGGGCAGGGTTGGGGCCATCGGGCTCCCATCGGTGATCAATGGGCGATTGGGGGTCGATGCGTCCCCCCCTGAGCCTATCCCCCCCTATCGTTGCCCCTGAAGAAACGGCTCCGGACGGGAGGTCAGCCCCGGGGTAGCGGGTCGCGACCCCGCGGGGGTTCGGCGTGGAGGCAGAATAGCCTGACGTCGGGGGTCAGGGTGCCGTGCGCCCCGGGCTTCACAACACAACCGGGGGGGAGGGGAGGTCCCCTTTGGGGGGGGGGTCTGATTTGATAGACGAGCGCGTGCAGAGTAACTTCTCGCAAATGGCCTGGGTCCGCCGAGGAGGTATCTACGATAAGTTGCATCGAAGCAGGCATGTGTTCTTCGGACGTTTGCGAGTGGGCACTTTGCGAGCAGTGGAACACGCTCGGTGATTTGAGCTGTCTTGGAGGGTTCAGGGGGGCCTGGGCAAGAGGCCGCCCTTTCGAGGCTGCTCTGGGGAGTGTCTGGAATTGCTCGTCTGGGAGGGCTGTGACCCCCCCCACCGTGTCGGATGAAACCCAGAGTGCCCCCTTAGGACCCGCGCAGCCCGCAAGGTCGGGTCATGCTGGGGAAGAGGGGGGGCGGGGGCCGCGCGGGCCCGATGACTCGGGTGATCGCGAGACTCTTGAACAAGGTGCGCTCGGCCCAGGGTGCCCCCGACCTCTTGCTCTACAGTCGTGGCGTTGACCTACGGAGCCCTAAATAAGGAACGAGGCCCCTGTTCTCCATAAGTTACACTTCGATTTCGCATCGAGAACCTAAGGAAAATCCAAGGCAAGCTGCGAAACACTCTCGGAACACGGAGCCCCTCCCCAGCGAAAAGGGTTCCTTCTTCGGGGCCCCGACGGTACTTTGATGCCCCTGGGGGCCCCTGAGCCTCGCGAGGGAGGCTCTCGTGGCCGTGGGGGGCCCTTCTGGGAGATCCTGGGGGCACCTTGGGCCACGGGCACGTCTGGCACCGCCCGAGGCAGGCGGACCTCCTCTGCTCGGCGCCGGGCCGGCCTCTGCGGCGCTCCTCCGCGCTCCTCGGCGCCCGTCGGCGCTTTTCCCGCGAGGCGAAAGTCTCTCCACCGTGGTTTCGAGTCGCGTCGGGACCCTCCCCTGGAGAACACCTCGCTGAAACTCTTCAAATTTAGCGGTGGGTGAGGGCCCATCAAGTCTTGCTCAACGACATGTTGACGTGTCCCAGCGTTGCAAAGGCAATGGGAAGAGCGACGACAGATCAGGACAGGCCAGCCCCGAGAAGGGATGGAGCTGTGGCTGAGCCTCGACCGAGGGAAACACACGCTGTGGAAGGTGGCGCCAATCAGAGGGGCAATGAAGAGGAAGAAAAGAAGAAACAATAGCATAAACATACAGACTCGGAAGTCCGTGCGGATTTCTCGGATCGGTGCTGGGCCCCCATGGCCGCCTCTCCGGCGGCTCCGCGCGCCAGGGGGTCCAGCGCAGATTCGAGGAATATGCGCGGACCTTTGAGTTGTTATGTTTATGGCATTGCTCGCTTCCTTACAACAAGGGCTGGACGGGGAGGGGAGTGAGAGGGGTGGCAGCCTCTTGGCGGTCTGCTGCTCCAACTTCCGCCTCTGGTCGTTGATCATGTCGATCTCGCGCGTGGTCAGTGCCCTCTTGATCAGACGCTTCTTGATGGACGAGGGGCGCATGCTGAACATCATGAAGAGGCTGCAGAACATGGGGAACGTCAGGAGCCCCGACAGGATCCCCGGCCCCACGAAGGTCTCCGGCGCCTGCATGTAGCCCTGGTGACTCTGCACCTTCGGGCGGGAACCGACCGTTCCGGCATTCCTTTAGGCGTACCACGAGATGTTCTGAAAACCAAAGAGCTTAGCTGCTCTCGTACGCACGTGTTGAAACGTAACACGTTCCGTGTTCAAAACGTCCGTGGTCAAAACGTACGTGTTCGATCTACGTGTTGAACTCCGTATCAATACGCTACGTGTTCCGTGTTGCGTATCGGGGCAGCTAAGCCAAAGCACGTTCCAAGAACCAAGACCATGTTCGGAGAACGCACACCGGATGACTCAACCAAGACCGTCTCAGCCAAACACGTTCTGAGAGCATTTCGCCCAGACCACAAGAGGTTCTGAGAGCCTTCTTTGTCGGGCCTATAATCAGGTCGGGCATGATGTCCTCCTACAGGCGGATTTGGGTCATATCTTAAACAAAAAACGAACCTATTCAAAAACAGTGAAAAATCAAAACATCGTGCCCATACTATGTTTTGGCAATTTTTGTATATTTCTCCTGTAGAGGGACACGCCCGAGTGGACGAGCCAAGACGCTCCGCCACTGCTCGACACCTGGGCGTTCGATACCACGCTTTGCTCCGTGACGCGTGCCCCCCCTGGGGCTCCTGGCCCCCTCCCTGGGGCGTGGGCTCCCCTCGCTCTGGGTCGTGCTTGCGAGCTCGAAGCCGCTCCTCCACTTCCTGCTCCTCACACTCCTCCTCCTCCTCCTCCTCCTCCTCCTCCTCCTCCTCCTCCTCCTCCTCCTCCTCCTCCTCATCTCCTCCCCCTCCTCCTCCTCCTCCATCCTCCTACTCCTCCTCCTCCTCCTCTCCTCCTCCTCCTCCTCCTCCTCCTCCGCTCCTCCTCCTCCTCCTCCTCCTCCTCCTCCTGCTCTCCTCCTCCTCCTCCTCCTCCTGCTCCTCCTCCTCCTGCTCCTCCTCCTCCTCCGCCTCCTCCTCCTCCTCCGCCTCCTCCTCCGCCTCCTCCTCCTTCACGTGCCGTGGAGCATGCGCACGGCGGCGCGCGCGCCAACCGGAGAACAGGGCGGGCGGGACAGTCTGGACGAAGCCAGGACCGGGGCAGGACCGAAACAGGACCAAGGCGGGGATCTCTCAGAGCCGGCGGGTCCGGTGAACACGCACAAATAAATACACGCAAACAAAAGGATGTCAATGTTTTTCTTATATTTTCTGGGGCTTAGTCTTCCCGCCCAATTCCCATAGTTTCCAATCTTTTCGACGATTAATTGTGTCTGTGTGTTTTTTCCCCTCCTGAGTATCCGGCGCCGTGGCCGAGCGCTCTGGGACGCTGCGAAAGCGTTCCGGATCATCCTCGTCCCGGGCTCAGGTCGGGCCTGTCCCCCTACAGGGGGATCCTGGACGAGAAATAAAACATACTAAAAAAATGATCAAAAGATGCCCAAATATTCCCCCCAAATAGTCCCCAGACCATTCCCCCTGTAGAGGGACAGGCCCGACTCAATCCTAGGCCTGCAGGGAGGCAGGCGGGCGGGAGTCAAACTCGAGGTAGCCCAAACGTGGACTCATCGGGCGGTGTTGGCCTCGGAGTTCCCGGCATGCCTGCCCCGACCCGTGGATCTGGCGCCCACGAACCAGCCCCGCGGGTCCCTGATCCGCGTTCGCGCGCAGCCGACTTGATGGCCCCGGGGCCTCCTCCTTCTCCTCCTCCTCCTCCTCCTCCTCTTCCTCCTCCTCCTCCTCCTCTTCCTCCACCTCCTCTTCCTCCACCTCCTCTTCCTCCTCCTCCTCCTCCTCCTTTTCCTCCTCCTCCTCTTCGTCTTCCTCCTCCTCATCCTCCTTCTGCTCCTCCTCCTCCTCCCGAAGCCTGCGCCCCGCAGAGGCCCACACCGAGGAGAAGGAAGCAACAAAAAAGGCCGCCGCGCCCTCTCCGGAGGGGTGGCGCCGCGACCCGAGGGCACCGCGGCGTTCACGGCCAGGATGGCCATGACGAGCGCGATCAGGCAGTGGACGCGCTGCGGCCTCGTGAACGTCTCGTGGAAGTAGAACAGGCCGATGAGCAGATGCTCGCGCCTGACTGGCGCCATGCCGCTGCGGACCCGCCGAGCGCCGGAGATCCAGCTTTCTTTTTTCTGCTACGTCCGATAACGATGGTCACCCGAAGGGGGCGGGGGGGGGGCCCAAGGTAGCGATAGCGCTTCTCGCCATCGCTCGGACGTCCATTCCCTGTGTTTTTTTCGGTTTCGTGCGTGGTTTCTTCGCCAGATGATCAAGGATGATCCTCGCCGAAAGAAAAATGAACACGTCCGAGCGATGCCAAGGCTTGGGCGGGGTTGGGGCGGGGGTGCGGGGCGGTCGCCATGGCATGCGCGCGAACACCAGCATGCGGGGAGGGGGTCCAGGCCCCCCCCCTACGTAAGACCACCACTGACACCCAAGGGGGGGGGGCAAGAAACGACCGCGACGCGCCCCAGAGGACTAACTAAGTACAGTCCGAGCACAGTCACAAGAACGTGGATCAAGAACGCGAGCCCCTCCGCCGAGGGTCGCGGGACCCCTGGGGAGGCCAAAACGAAGGGAGATCACACGGTGGGAGGACGAAAAGCGAAGAACGTAAGGGTATCCCCCCGAAGTCGAAGAGGATCTTAATCCTCGCGCTGGCTGTAGCCGAACTCTGTACACCGACGCGTTTTCCGCCCCGCACCGAAACTTGCAGAGGAAAGCGGATCACAGTGAACACGGGATTCTGGTGAATACATGTTTCGTCGCTTCCACGGGCAACGATTCAACGAGTATACACCACACCACCCCGACGTCGTCCCCGACACTCTAAAAAAAGTCCTGGGATTGAAAAAAACAAGCCCGCCACTGGTAATGTACAATCTCCAGTTTCCGATTCAAACACATTGTATCAAGGGGGACCAGGGAGATACGCAGCGATGTCGAGTGGTGTTCACTGACGACAAGTGGAGGCCTGGAAATTGGCACCAACACCAGCACAAAGGGGTTGCCTCCACATGGTAAGATGATCCTAGATTCCGGTGTTGGTGGTAATATTTTGGTGGTAATATTTCGGTCACCTGGGATCGGGATCGTCTTCCCTCGGTGGAGGCACACCGCCGATCTTGGTGTTGGTGTCAACCTCTAGGCCTGCGGGACCAAGTATCGGGAATCGCATGGCCTCGTGGCACCGAGTGGGCCTCGGGAAGTCTCTGGGCGGACCATGGGGCCTCTGGGGGGTCACGAGAAGCCTCTCGAGACCTCCAACGGGGGGGTCCAGGGGGTCAGGACCGCGGGGGGGGGGGGCACCAAAGCTTGCCACCCCGACCAGGTCGAGCAATGATCGCCTTCGACAGATCCTGGGAGAAGGAGGGGGCGGAGAACGAGCAGGAGAAGGAGGAGGAGGAGCAGGAGCGCACGTAGCTTGAGTGACGGTGACTCAGCTACTGCTGCAGGCTCTATCGACGCATTGCGGCGAGAGCGGCAGCTCGTATTTCGTAATGGTAAGAGGGCGACGCCGACCTCGTTGGGTGGGAGGCCAGGTCAGCCTTCAGCTTGTGATAGATATGGAAGCTGAGGACGACCACACGGTGGCAACGCGCACGCGGGTATTCGACTTCAGCGTCGGGCGAGGGCCCGAGCCCAAGGCGGGTGAGGGGACAGGAGGGAAGGAAGCCACGAGGGACAGCAAGGAGGTGCAGGAGGCGAGGGCAGGAGATGTAGTGGGCAAAGTCATCGGAAGCGTCGGGACAGCCGAGGATGCACTGGCGGGGCGGCTCGCAGGGGACTCGGGCGGCTGTAGTCCAGGCCCCCGCCAGCGTTTTAATGTGGGCCCATGCCCAGGCCGGGGGGCTCCGAGTGAGGACTCGTCGGAGTTCCTCCCAGCGGCTGGTGAGGTCAGCAATGGGAAGAGGAGGAACGAGGGGAAGCCACGAGGAGATACGACGAGCGAGGAGAGAGGGAAAGGAGTCAGGGTACAGGGACGCATGGAGGCTCAGAGAGAGGGCACGCTGGGGCCTCGGTCGTCGAGTTGCGGCCGAGGCATCCGCTATTGCATGGCGAGCGGCAGCCTCCGCTCGGTGCCAGGCGGCACGGGCAATCCCTGTCGGACCACCGTGCAGCACGTCCTCGAAGAATTCGGCGATTGAGAGCGAGCGGCGCCACACAGCACTCGAAAGCCCTCGGGAGCCTAGAGCTCGGAGCGGTCCGTGCATTTCGGCCTGGGCCCGCAGGATCGATAAAGCCTGGCTCCAGCCCCTTGGGCCGTCCCTGGGGAGGGTGGACACAGCGGTCCTCCAGGCGGAGGCCCCGGCCAGAACCCGCACGGACCTGGGGGCCGAGGAACGGAGCCAGGAGCCAAGACCCAGGAGCTCCCCCAGGCCGAAGGCATTCGGGGGGAGGCGGAGGAGGCGGTGGAGGACGTGACGCTCGGAGCGAAGGAGGGCGAGAGGAGGGGGGTAGAGCTGACAGACGTAGCTCAGGACTGAGAGGATGCCGAAGTTATATACTCGGCAACTGGCCTCTGCAGGTGTCCTGCTAAGTGCAACTTCTGCTGTGCGTCTTCGCCACTTGCGAATTGGGTCGGTCCACTGATCCGCTAGAGACGCCCCAGGTCCAAAAGCGAATCCCAGGAACGGGGTACAGCCACGGACATGGAAGGAAGCCCACTCGGGGGCCAGGGCAGTTATCTTCGCGCTCACACGAGCGGCAACATCAGGCGTGCATTCTTCAGCCAGTGGGACGGCACAGCATTTGTCTGGCTGGAGCTCGAGGTTCGCCAGCGTGCGGGCGGCGGTGAAGGGTGGGACGAGCAGGGGGAGAAGTCGGATCGAGGGGAGAGTGGCACCAACGTCATCCGCCGTCACACCGCACTCAGGCTCTAGTCTTGGGCACCAGCGCTCGGGGTTCGGGCAGAGGGCCAGCGCTTCGGGCGACGTTAGCTGAGACTGGATGTGGCGGGCGAAGGGGTCCATGGACAGGGCCCAAATCGTGCCAGAGAGGGGGCAGCCCTGGGCCACGCCAGACGACACCATGAAGAGTGGGCGGCGGGATGCTCCACATCGGGAGTGGGCGAGAGCCCCAGAGTACAAGGCAGAGATTACATTAAGACAGCCCTTCGGGATGCGGTGACGCTCGAGCACACGCCAGAGGAAGGGCTGGGAAAGGGAGGGAAACGCAGCCCTGAGGTCAAAGGAGACAAAGAGGGGGGACAGCTCAGGGTGGTGACTGGCAGCACGAGCGACCGCATCCTGACGGACGACGTGAGACAGGAAGTTCCGTCCGCGCACGAAGCCTTGCTGGCTTTCGTGCACTCGTGCGGCCGCGAGAGGGGCGAGCACATGATTCGCTGCACTAGCCACTGCCTTGGCGTCACAGTTCTTGAGGCTCAGAGGTCGAAGCTTCGACGCGTGGCGGACCACCTCCACGGAATCCGAGGGCTCGTCACCCTTGGGAATGAAGACCATGTCCGCAAAATTGAAGCCATGCGGCGCGCCCCTGCCCTGGTACAGGCCAATCATCATGTCGTAGAGGATGTCCACCAGCCTTGGGTCCGCCAGCCAGGCTGCCGCCGGAAGTCGGTCAGGCCCAGGGGCAGTGGGCTTGGCTCGAAGCAGCGCAGCGCGAAGAACAGCTGGAGAAGGAACCTCCAGAGCTGGGCTGTCAAACTCAGGGAGATGAGTGCGCAGGTAATCGTCAACCGCATTGATGTCGACAGGGTGATCTGTGAAGGCAGGCTGCCAGTGCTGACGCAAGCCATCCATGATCATGGTCGGGTGACGCTCGATGCCCGCCTGGTGTCCCTCACCATCCATGCGAAGACCCTTGAGCACCAGCCGACGACGGTAAGGAATCCAAAGAAGGGCTCGCCGTTGAGCAGCACGCTGTATCTTACGCAACTGCTGGATGGTGGGGTCGCCCGCGTCGAGCTGCAGCTGTGCGTGTTCACGAAGTCGGGCGGCTGCTGCAGCTTGCTGGTGTTCGTGCCAGGCGAGATGAAGGTCCATGCGCTCTCGTTCGAATGCGGGGGGATTGACCAGCAGGATGCGGTTGTCTCCATCGATGGTGAGGTGCAGTCGGCCCATGGCAGTGGAGTGGATCAGCTTGTGCGCGAGGTGCAGGTCCTGCCTCCATATGGCTCTCGCAATCGCGCGTGTCGAAATTCTGCGGCCCTCAAGAGCTTCAGCATGGCCATCGCCGATAGGGAGGGCCTGGAGCTCATTGCGGGTGATGCGAGCAGCTTCAATCATCTGCAGCTTCACCTCGGCCCAGCGATTCTCCTCCGCTATGTTCGTGAAGTCGGAGTGGTTGAGCAGGTTAGTGACATGCTTGGCAAACCGCGGCGAGTGGAAGACGCTCTGGGGGATCGCACGGTCGTCGGGAGCGGCCGCGGTGCGGGGCTGGATCCGCAGCTGGATGATGGCGTGATCGCTGAGACCCCAGTCCGCCAGTGAGGTCGCCTCCTGCCAGATCTCGAAGGCGACGGAGGTGTCCAGGAGGAAGTGCGACTTCAAGGAGATGAAGGCCCTGTCAATGAACGTGCATGACTGGTGGCGCTTGGAGTAGTGGGTGGGTAGCTCGCTCACCACCTCAACCATGTCCCGTTGGAAGAGGTTGCGCCAGAAGCCCTGCGCTTGGTTGCCACGGTGCCAGACCGATCGGCTGTTGCCACCAGCTCGTCGGTAGTCACCCAGAGCCATCTCAGCAGCAGATTCCGAGGAGGAGGAGGACGAGGTAGAGGAAGAGGAAAGAAGTAGCAGACGTTCTCCGTCGCCCAGTGCCCCGTGTAGACGCCGAAGCCGAAGCCGCGCTCGGAGAAGAGAAGTGCACCGGTTCAATGTCAGCGATATTGAAGTCCCCGATAGCGATGAAGATGCGGTGCCGTTCGTCACTTTGAGCCCATGCAGCTCCGTCAAGCCAACGGCGGCGCACGAGAGGTAGTTTGGCTGCGGGCAGCTCGTGGTTGTGGATGTTCATGATCTTGATGTGCTCGTTGTTAGTCGGATTGCTGATAGTGAGGACCGCGACGCGACCATCAATCACAGGGTCCAGGGAGAGGGAAGGGAGCAGCTGTGGGTCCATCGTCGCAAGCTCCGCCTCGGAGAACCACGGGGTCAGGAAGGCGAGGCCGCCCGCCCCAGGGGAGTCGCCCGCCGACATGATGGCTCGGTAGTGGTATGGAGTTTGGTTCAGCAGCGTCTGCAGCTTGATCTCTGACCCGTGCGCCTCCTGGACGACAATCAGCATGCGCATCTGGAGGAGCTTGCAGAGACGCTGCATCTTGTTGTTGCGGCGATGTGCGCGTTGACAAAGGAGTCCTTGGGCATTCCACGATGCGATGCGGAGCGCCTGTGCTGCGCTGGAGCCTTGGCCCTGGGGAGCAGCCAACACCCAGGGCGTCCAGCGTGGGCTAGGAGCAAGACCAGGTGGAGGTGTCCACCTCTGTGTTGAATATGGTGGCCTCGCAGAACTGGTCGATGATCTTCTGCCGCTCGTCGTCATTGATGTAGCGGCTGGTCTCAGGGTGCCAGTAGATCCGCGAGGGCTCGTGGAAGCCTTGTGGGACGACCTCGATGATGGGCACTGCATTGACGCTGATGATGCCCTTCGGGCGGATGGCCGTCCAGTCGCGATGACCCGAGGCGAAGGACTGCTGCAGCAAGGAGAGGAGCCTCCTGGTGTGCATTTCTCGGCGGATCTGGCGAGGAGCTTTGTCAGCTCCCACATGTAGTGGTACCAGGCGCCCATCAGGTGTCTTGACTTGGAAGGATCTCCATGTGCCTCCAGGGAGCCGAAGCGCGCGCGCCAATGCAAGGGCACGGGCTCCGCCGACGCCAGCGTCACCCCGAACGCGCAGGAAGAAACGTTTGGACGGGACCTCCGCGCCACCGACGAGCTCCAGATATTCGGGTGCCACTGTGGAGGCACCGAACCATTCTGAGAGGCTAGCCATGACCGCGCTCCTGGCCACCATTGAGCTGCAGTTGGCCGAGAAGAGAAGTGGGTCAGCCTCGCGGTCATACTCGGCCAGCTTAGCCAGGTCGGTCGCTGGGAGGGCCTTCTCCGCCATCGCCAGCTGTTCGCGGATCTCGCCGATCTGCTTGCGGAGGACAACATTGCTCTGTTCCAAGTCGGTCTGGCGTCGCTTGAGCTGGTGGATCTCATTCGATTGGTGGGCCACGTTCTTGAGCACGGGGTCGATGTAGCCAGCCATTGCGCCCACCAGCTCCTTGTGGGCGGTGGCCAGGGACTGCGTGCATATGGTGTTGAGCTGGCTGACCGTGGAGTCCATGCGGGCTTGGACCAGCTCCAGGAGGCTGTCTTGGACGGTGCTGGGCGACCCGCCCGCTCCGGCGCCAGGCTCGCAGGGCGTGGCCGTGTCGTCCTGCGTCTCCAGCACCTGGAAGTCACGCTCGATGTCGCGCAGCTCTTGAGTGGAGAACTGTGGCACCGCAGCCGCAGCACCCCGCCAGGGATCGCGTGTCTGGAGGGCGTCTGGAGCTGGGGGGGCCGCAGCTGCCGCGCTGGCTGACGCCGCAGCACCAGTGCTGCTGCCTGCACCAGCCCACTGCGGTGGGGCTGCCAGGCTGCGAGGTCCGTCGCCGCGCCGCTGACGATCACGTTCACTGCGCTCACGATGGGCAGGAGCACGTGTGGGGGGCTGGGCAGGCCGATCAGTGGAGTCTCTGCCAGCGTCAGCCCAGGCTTTGCGCCGAGCGCGGCGGCGCGGGCGCTCCTCGCCCCCACTGCGGCTGTGCTCGTCGCGATCCCCTCGGCCGTCAGAAGAGCTGCCAGTGCCATCAGAAGCCATGCGGAAAAACAAAGTCGTGTCTGCGGAGAAAGATTCGTATTGACAAAGGTGTGGGGCACTGGCCCAGAAGGGGGAGCTCCAGCAGCCTGTGGTGTCGGGCCGCCGCTGAGAGCCCCCCGAAGCTGACCTGGCCAGCTGCCTCGGGACATGGATTACTTGAGCCAAAATGGCTTGAGCCAAAATGGCTACGGAGGAGGAGGAGCAGGAGGAGGAGGATGAGGCGGAGGAAGAGGAGAGAAGGAGGAGGAGGAGGAGGAGGAGGAGGAAGAGGAGGAGGAGGACGAAGAGGAGGAGGAGGAAAAGGAGGAGGGGGAGGAGGAGGAGGAGGAATACTGCGCTCTGACGGGCCTCCTTGCCTGGCCGCCGAGGCCCGCTTGTCTCCAGGATGCCCCCCCCCCGTGCTCTGGCAAGGCGGGGGGAGGGGGGGGGGGGGCGGCGCCAGGCCTGACCACGTTGAGCAGGGTGCCGACTATCAGTTGCGGCTTTCTGCTCGCGTGCGCGTAGTCGATGGGGTCGTCCACGCTCATTGGGCCAGTGAGGCCGTCGCCGTCGTAGTAATAGCGTGACTTGACCTCTCGCGCGGAAAATCTGTTTGTGTGTGTGTATTTGAGAACTCCGTGAAAATACATGCTCTCCCTGGGTCTTAATCCTGCCCCACAATCGCGCCCCCGTGCCGTTACACACTCCCGCTAGCTTTCGCTTCCGTTCCAGCAGGGGGCCAAAGCAGGCGGTTCCACAATGTCTAACGAAAATCTCACTCCCGCCGAGAGACCCTGAACAACATAATTTGCACGAACACGACAGCACACGGCTTATGTTTGGCACGATGAATCTGCACCAACTTGCGCTACGAGTGACGCAACAGGCCACGCCAGACCCCCCGCAACATAGTCAAGAGGCCACCGAGAGGCCTCCCAAGAGACCCCTAGAAGCCTCCCAAAGGTGTCTTGTTACAGACCCAGCTTGGCCCCAAGAACGCCCCAAGAAATCATCGGGAGGCCTCATCTTCATCTTCCCCTCTTCCTCCTCCTCCTCCTCCTCCCTCTCGCTGGCCACGAGCACAACAACATGTAGCATCGGTGATACAATAGGGGTCGGCGCAATGAGCGAAGCGATCCGACGGCCCATCGGGTACGGTGTGTGAGCCCCCCGCCGCATGGTAAAACTGGGCTAGGATCGGGATAAATCGCTCCAGAGCGTTCCGGAGCGCTCTCAGAGCGTTCCGGAACGCTCTGGAGCGGCCGCGGCGCCCAATACATCCTCCAACCCCGCCGATTCTCAGAGATTTCGAGTTACCCCGATCCGATTTTGTTTCGATCTTCGCGTCGTTTTATCCACCTCAATCATCTTACATACTCAATCGTCGTACACAGATCCTTTCAAAGAGCCCTCGACCCCCCCCACCGTGGGGTACTCCCCGCGGCCTGCCTATTATTGGCCGGCCAGGGGGGCCCCGGCTGCGGATTTTTGGGCGTCCGCTGGCCGCAGCTTCGAGCTCAACTCACGCACGCCTTCGCACGGGAGACCTCTGGACGCTTCCAGGCGCGATTTGTGGCCTACAGTCGGGGCGTTGACCTAAGGAACCCTAAATAAGGGACGAGGCCCCTGTTTTCCATAAGTGAAAGTTCGATTTCCAATCGGAAAACATCAGGAAAACCTGAGGCAAACTGCAGAACCATCAAGGAACGCCGAGCCCCTCCCCAACGAAAAGGGTTCCTTCTTCAGGGCCCCGACTGTATCTGGAGGCCCTCCTGGGCAGTCTGCAAAGCCTCTTGGAGTCCTCTTGGGCTCATTTGGCCCGCCCCTAGAGCTCCGGCATGTCATCCCTGATTCTGGTCGAGAATCCCTGTGCTCCAACCCCTGACTGCGTAGAACCGTGCCTGGCAACGGCAGGAAGGCTCTTGTCCAGCTTCGATCTCGTCTTTACCGATGGGATCGGGGTTCCTCACCAAGGGTCGCTGTCCTCACCCGTGGACCTTGTTCCTCCTCATACTGCTCCTCCGGAACTCGTCGGTCACATAGCCCAAGAGGATCAGCAGGACTCCGACGAAGGATACCATGCCCATGAGCGCCATGACAAACTTGTTGTAGTCCGACTGACCCGCGCAATTTATGCAATTATCTTCCCAGACCTCACGCTGCCAATCGGAGGCCATGTCAGTGAGGCTGGCACTAGCTGCCGTGCGGCCATCCACGAAGATGCCCACGTCCTGGACCAGATGTGTCGAGAGGCAGCCAGTCCCGTTGTTGATGATGCCAGACTGCGACCACGAACCGCCCTGAGTGTCCGCAAATCGATTCCAGTTCAAGCACACTACGCTGGAATAGAGCTCAAGGTTCGCGAAAACGTTCACTGGCTCGGACGTGCTCTCCTCGTCCAACTGCGTGCCGTCCGCCTTCCAGATTGTGACGGTCATGATCTTCGCCTCTGTCGAGGGCGGGTTGGTTGTCGACCAGGCGTATATGTTGTTGACGTACTCCATGAAAATATAGGCGAAGCAATCCGCCGTGGCCGTACTCGGCGGCTTGACGTAGGCCGCAGGGTACGAGAACTCGGGCCTGGCGTTGGTCATGTCCCAAGTGTTGCCGATGACGAGAGTCCCGGCAGGCGTCTCGTAGCTCCTCTCGTTGCCACGCTCCAGGGTGACGATCAGAAGCTTGGCAATGAAATCTCTCAGGACCTCGGCGAGAGCGCAGCGCCCGATCGACCCAGGCCTCTCTGCTCGCGCGGCCCGATCGTGCCAAGCGCGCGACCGGCTCCGACCGCGCGATCAACCCGATCCCGCCAAGCGGCCGTCCACGACATGGTCTGCGATCGCGATTCCCAATCGACGCCCGCGGAGCGAGCAGGCGCATCGAGCGTGGGGCGTTGATCTTCGTGATCTTCGCGGACTCGTTGCTGGCGTAGACGAGCTCCTTGGCGCGGGCGGAAGGGCACGCCTGGGCCGTGCCCCTTCCCCGCCCGATAGAGGAGGGGGGAGTGGCCTGACCTAGACAAGCGCGTTCCAGGACTCGCAAGGTCAGTACTCGCACATGGCCTGGATCAGCCGCGGAGGGCTTCCGGCCCATTGCGTCGAGGCGAACGCGTCTTCTTTGTTTGCGGAGGTGTCGCATGTATATAGCAACCTTCTGGGAGACGATGGTGATGTTGTTGATGATAATCATGATGAAAATTCGCCGGCCCAACGGGCCAGAGGCGTGCTAAGATCTCCGGTAACTGGTTCAGAATATGTCTAGTTCGCGCGCGCGGAGCGGCCCCTGGGGGCCCCTGGACGAAAAGTACCCCGGCAAGGTCCCGGGAGAAGCCACCACAGCACTCCAGGGGAGGGCCATTTTTCGACACCCCTCACGAGGACCGTGGCCTCCGAGGGGGGAGCCGCAATCGACTACCCCCCCTCCCGCCCCAAGAGGCCCCCAAGAGCCCCCGAAGAGGCCCTGGGGGCCCCCAAGACGCCGCCAAGGAGCCCCAACAGACTCCCGAGAGGTCCCCTAAGAGGCCCCCAGGAGGCCCTGAAGAGGGCTCCAGGGCCGGCGGCATGAGCGAAGCGATTAAAGGACCCGCAGAGAGAGAGAGAGAGAGACAAACCTGCATAAATGGGGGAACACAAACCGACCTCGCTTTTGACCACCCTCGCTTCCCAGGGATACCAAGCGATGCCAAACTATACGGCCTGTACTGGTCAGGTCGCTCGACGAGGAGGCGCGCAGTATGACTTGTTTTTTTTTTTTTTCTGGAAGCGACAGCGGGGGAGGTAGCTCACGCTCTGAATAAGGATGCGCTCTCGGAGCTCCACACGGATTCCTCGGGTCGGCGCTGGCCCCGCCCCCCCTCGCTGGCGCGCGGAGGCGCCGCCGGGGGGGGGCCCCCCCGCTGGCCCCGAGACATGCGCGCGGAGCGTCGGACGTCTGCGTGCACGCAGATCTTTCTGCATGCTCGAGCCTGTGGCCATTCCCCGCCCCCCACGAGGGGAGGGGGGGCCCGACGAGACCCCTGCGGGGATAGTCTTCCTGGCGCTCTCGTAGAGAAAGCACCGGATGAGCAGGAAGTGCCGGAGATCAGCGTGGGTTCCTTGCAGCGGCGGCGCCGAAGGCGCCGCCAGGGGGGCCACAGCACCGATCCGAGAAGTCCGCGCGGAGGTCCGAACGTTCATGCTTGTGCAGTTTGTTCTTCCTTGCAGGGCGCGAGCTCAACAATGATGTTCGCCTTCCTTTTGCTATGTTCCCTCGTTCTGTCTTCGCCACGCCCCAACCGCACAACGAGATCGGATCCGAGCACGGCCCACGACATCGCCAACACACCGTGATGCTCGCGCCTGTGCCTCCTCGAGATGGGACCACTGCGGGATCAAATTAAAGGGGCTCCAGGACACACAAGTAAATACACACAAATAAAACGATTCCCCATATTTTCCTATATTTTCTTGGACTCTGTCTTCCCCACCGCTTCCCATATTTTCCCATATTTTCCTGGGGGGCGACGATTGATGGTGTCTGTGTTTTTTCCCCTCCTGACAAATGTTCGTGCTCTGGGATCCTCCTGGTAGTCCGTCAGCTCCTGCAGCTCCGCCTCCTCCTGCGCCGCCTCGGCCTGCTCGGCGGGCAGGTGCTGGAAGGCGGCGTAGCCCGAGGCGTCGGAGCGCACCCTCGCCATCACCACCCGGGCCAGCTGCGTCTCGGAGTCCTGCCAGAGCAGGAGACCGATTCCTGACCACACCCACTTCCCGAGGTGCCCTGCGACAAAAGCGGTTTCCAGGGGTGGAGGTGGGCCGTTTCCCCGCCCCAGGGGAAGGAAACACTGCCCACTTCCACCCCCGAGGGCCGATCATAGAGTCGAGGATCCAGAGGTGGATGTGGTCAGAAATCGGTCTTCGACAGAGGGCTCGGCGGCGAGCCGTCCCGAAGCAAGAGCCCATGCACACGCTCTGCCGGGGATCTCTGGCCGTCCCTCGGACCTCCGTTCCCCGTGCCGTGTCTCGGCCTCGTGCGTGCGTGTGTGGCCAGATGGTGCAGGATGCTCCTCGAGGATCCTCGCCGGAAAAAAAAAACGCACACGTCCGAGCGATGCCAAGATCTCCTGGCCCCGTCAATCCAGACCCGAGTCAGTCAGGCCTTGCAGGAGCCTGCGAGATCCTGCACCCAGGCCCGGGTCAGTGCGACCCTGGCCGTGCAAGATCCCTGCAACATCGGGCACTCTGGCTGACCCCCGCCGTTTGCATCGACCCCCGTCTCAAGGCTCCCGATTCTATTGTTCGCGATAGCTCCCGTGACCAGCCCTGCCCGCCCCCCCCTCCCCCAACCCTGGTAACAGAGGGCCCCAGATAATTACAAGGGGGGGGATATAATACAATTCGGGGCCGCGGGGGGATGATAAACGAATTGTGCCGGCAAGTCGTGCGTGGGATGCAAGACGAGGAACGAGGAGGTCGTCGTCGTCGTCGTCGTCGTCGTCGTCGTCGTCGTCGTCGTCGTCGTCGTCGTCGTCGTCGTCGTTGTCGTCGTCGTCGTCGTCGTCGCACGACGACGACAACGACGACGGCGACGCTGGCTGCGGCCAGGGCCTCGAGGGCCGCCAGCAGAGTCACGAGGTGATCAGCTGCTGAGGTACGAGAGCCACCGGCAGCGCCACGAGCGCCGCCGGCACGGCCGTCGACCAAAAATAGCAGCTCCGTGGGCCGCCAGCCTGCCTTCGGGAACCACGGCCAGAGCCACGTGGGCCACTCTCGGAGCCGCAAGGGCGACCACCAGAGCTACCCATAGGCCACCCTCGGAGCTGCGGCAGCCACGCGCAGCACTCCAAGGGCGACGGGGAGAGCTCCGAGGACCGCCGGCGGGCCAGCGAGGACGAGCATCAGAGCCGCGAGAGCCGCTGGCAGAGCTGCGCGGGCCTCCAGCAGGGCTTCGAGGAGAGCCGCACGCGGAGCTGCGGCGGGAGCCACCAGCCGAGCTGCGAGGGCCACGGGCTGGGCTGCACAGGCCACAGGCAGAGCCGAGAGGACCAGCAGCAGGGCCACCAGGGCGACCCGCTGAGCCACGAGGGCCACCAGCAGAGCTATAGAGGGCCGGTGGCGGAACGGCCAGGGCCGCCAGCTGAGCCACGAGGGCCACATGCTGCTCCTGTACGAGGGCCAGGATTGACCCTTCCAGGGAAGGATTCAGAGCTCGGGGGGGCTGCGAGCGCAGCTACGAGAGCCTTCAGCGGAACTGTACGGGCCACAGGCTGGGCTACAACGGCCACGGGCAGAACTCCGAGAGCCACCACCAGAGTTACGGGGGCCACTGGCTGGACTACGATTGTACCAGCTGAGCTTGGAGGACTACAGGCTGTGCTACGAGGACCGCGACCAGAGCTACCAGAGCCACCTGCTGTAGCTGCGAGCCCCGCGCGCATAGCTAATTACCAGAGCCACTGGCAGGGCTACGTGGAACACCAGCTGGGCTACCAGGGCCAGCAGCTGTGCCACGAGAGCCACAAGGCGAGCACCAAGGCCCACGGAAGGCCTGGACATCCAAAAAGCCGACTGCCGTCAGAGACACGGTGGAGGGCAAGTTCGGCAGGGAGTACTTCGAGTGCACGGTGTTGCAACTGAGCGTCCAGAACTTGGAAATCCGCTGGACCGATGGATCAAAAGATAAGATCTTGCGCCACTCCATCCGCAAGAAGCCGTAATAGGCGAGACTGGCCCGCCAGAAGCCAGGAGAGCAGAACATACACGAGACCGACGTCGGGGCCACTGCGACTGCCGGGGGGCCCGCCCCTCAGATCTATCTCCCGACAATCTCCCCCCGATGCCCTTCGGGCTTGTGCACCGAATCAGATGGCTCCCTCCCCTGACCTTCCAGAGTGCTAAAAAATACAGCACTCCAGACCTATAGATCTATCTGGACTGCCTCAAACCTCGACAGGAATTAGGACGTCGACGTCCTGGTGCTATGTTTCAGCCCTCCTGGAAGGTCCGGGCCTCCCCCTCCCCCCCCACACCTCTGGAGACGAGGACCCCAATAGGTGGCGGCCCGGGGGCCCCCCCGCCGAGCGCCTGCGCGGGCCCGCGCGCGGGCGCGCGCGGCGCGCGGCGGTGGCGCAGCGCTCGCTGTCGGAGCGGTGCGCCGCAGCAGCAGGGCGAGGCGAGGGGGGGAGGGACAGGGGAGAAGAGGCAGAGGCGAGAAGGGGAGGGAGAGGGGAGAGGGAGAGGAGGCCTGCGAACTCAGCAGCACAGGCTTCTCCGCCTCCTCGAGGGCCAGCAGCAGCTGGTCGCCCGGGGTGGCGTTGACCTCGAAGTACTGCAGCCGCCGCTTGTACATGTCTGGGTGCCACGCCTGCTGTCGGGGGGCGATACGTCGCAGACATGATTCGGGCTGGGTTGCGATGGGAGCTTGCACCATGGAATGGTCAGGTTTCGGGCTGCGCAACAGACGGCCTCCCCAGATAGTCCTAACTGGCCTGAACAGGCCCCCCGAACAGCCTGTGGCGGTCTCCACACCCTGG